GAATCGCAGAGGCTAAATGTAATCCAAATAACAAAACGACACCTGGGGTTGGAAACTCGAGCCCTAGCGGCTGTTTCTGCAGGCCTCTGCCTCCCCCCCCCCCCCCTTCCACCCTTCTTTCATCGCCCCCCCGGCGGGGGCCCAATATCAGGAAAGCGAGAAAGACTCCTGACGGACAGACTGGACGCTGTTGTTGCTGCAGCATTCCTGTACCGAGCAGCTGTCACTTCACTTGAGGCTTTAATTGGGTTATTCTGACACAAAGACTCTTGTTCAAGGATGAAGGGGAACTACAGATATGGACACAGGTACAACTATTATGGTCAGGACAAGTATGTCACAGGTTGAAATGCCAAAGGATAACTGTAATTTGCACAGTTACAATAAAATCATAATTGTCAGAAACTTGTTCTATGCAAACATGATATTTCTATTGCACTGTGGACAAAGTTTTCTTGAACTGCGTGAGTACTGTATTCTAGACTTACTCAAAATTTGTGGACAAAGTTTTCTTGAACTGCAGTACTGTATTCTAGACTTACTCAAAATGGTTACATAGGAACGCACTCTTCGTGCATTTGACCAAAGTAACTGAAAAAACAGAACTGGAATAACAATTATTTTCACAGCAAATGATTCAGAGGGACTTTTTTTCCTAAACAAACTTGTAATTTGATACATAAATCAATAATAATCTCCCAAACAAATTACAGAAGCATACAACATACATGCATAACCATATTTACGAAGCCATAACATAATATGAGAATTTTACAGTCTTGGTTTGGAAACTGGGATTGAATTTCTTATGGTTTGTGAATTACACATAATAAGTCAAGAACATATTTTGAAATAAAATCATCGTGGACTGTTCTATGACTCTATTGGTTGTTGTTAGTGCTAAAATAACAGTAATAACTGTTTTTGTTACCTGTGTGAACATATAATATGTCATTTATTAAAAATAAACTAGTTAAAACCACAAAATATTCCGTCATTCTAAAACATTAACTCACTCTCTAATTACTTTGGGAAAAAAAGTGATGGAATAACTCTGTAGTAAGAAGTTGTTACAGTCCTGTAATGCTATAGTGGTAACAGCAAAATGTGCTTCAACGCATCAGAGACGAAAGTACTTAATGTACGTATATTTAGTGATTAAACACCAGCTTCACAAAATATGGATGGCTTTGCTTTAGTATTTTCTATCATTAGAAAACTGTACCATGACATGGAGCATCAGCTCTATGTTGTGCATCAATCATTATAAAATCACATGTTAAAAACTATCCTGTGGCCCTCAATGATATTCTTCACGAGTCACGTGGGGGTCCCGACCCAGTCTTTAGGAAACCCGGGGTATATACAGGATGATGATAACGGGGTAAATCTGTCAGAGCTCACCAGGTCTGTTACCCCTCTATATGGCATCAACTATAGGCTGCGGCCTGCAAAGACTCAGATACCAAACAACCAAAAACTACGCTCGGACTAACGTCAACCAACGTATACGATTTAAAATAAGCAAAAATAAAAGTACCACAAAAGATGGTTTCCTAAGTTTGAATACGTCTTCCGTCGTAACATAAATTCAGGCAAAGGTAGAAAAAGTTAAAGAAAATGTCCGGAAAGTACGGGACGCGGAGCTCGTCCAATCAACAACACGCTAGGTTCGGGATGAAAAGTGAACTTTTCGGACATAAAGTAGCGGAGAACCCGGGTCGGTCGGACACGTTTATGCACAACAAAGCTGTCTGTGGTGTATAAATGTTGTTGAAAAGTTTATTCACGTGAACACACTGTGAAAAACAAAAGCAAATGTGGCTTCCCAAGTTGTCACCAGCATGGAGCGTAGCGGTCCGAGAGTAAAATGAGTGAAATCGCAGCGGGGTTAAAGCTACACAGACGAGGGTTTGAAATTTAAACCGGTACGTTCAAAGAATTCCATGACAAACGCAGATACTCGGTAAAAACACGGGGCGCGTGAAGGCAAAAAAGAATAAGAAGAAGAAGAAAAAGATGAAGAAAACTCACCGAATCTGCTTTACTTGGTGCTGGAAGCAGCCGAGTTCTCCTCTTCGCCTCTGCTTTGCTCCTCTGCTCAGTTTTAAAGTCTCCAAAACCCCGTTGAAACACCTTTTTTTAAAAGTTCTCTGTTGAAGGCTCGCTGCTTTTTCGTTAATTTACTGCGATGCCACCGACATTTTCTTCGGCTCCCCAACTTCTCACATTGAAAGGCCGTTTTTGGATGACTGAGCTCTCAAACAATTCTCCCTTTTGCGACGCCTTTTTGGGTCCTCCCACTTCCCAAGCAGGAGGAGGGATCCGAACAATAGGGACTGGCTCCCAAAATCCCAGCGCTGCTCCTGCTTCTCCCGCTGCTGTGTCCTCTTCTCTCCTCTACTCCTGCACCACAGCTTCTTCACCACTACGCACAGTTGTGATGCACTAACTCCCAATGGTTGATTATTATTATTAGTATTTAACTGTAACAGGTACACAGGCAATGAAAACGTCCTCCAAAACTTTGAACTACGGTGTCCCGGAGGAGAAAAGAGCGCCCCCTCCCCCTCGTCCCGCTCTGTCCCCCTTGAGTTTGTATGCCTCAGTCCCCACAGGGTCTGTTTTGACCCCCATCCATTGAGGCCTGAAGGCCTTTTTGCTGCAGCTGTGCAGTGGTGTGTTGTCATGTTGTGGGTTGGTTAGGTCCACTCAGGACACACTAACTAACTAACTAACTAACTAACTAACTAATATATTACACCTAACTATAACCTGGACATCCTCCTTAATACAACCACAGTTCACTCTTCTTCCAAACACAGAGTCGTAGAAATGAGGTTCTGGCCACAACAGGACCAGGTTTTGAGACCTTACGAGGTCTCAGAATGAGGTTTGGTTTATGCAACATCTGTGCAATATACTTCACAATATATTACAACATATACTTTAGTATAGGCCTATGGTCAAACTGTAAAATGCTATGGGTTATACTATGTAATACAGTTTGTAATACAACATGCTTTATTTAATTTTATAACTGACCAAACATACTTAGGTTTTTATAATTACTAAACAAAATATACATTAGTCTATATATATATATATATATTTATCTTATCATCAATCATGTCTTTCAACAAGCTACTAATATAAGGTAATATAAAAATAAGCCGAGTGGTCCTCACAGCTGTTTGAAGCATGTAATTATAAATAATGCATAGTTTTTTCAAGTAGTAGTCATATGTTTTAGCTGATTATTTGAAATAGAGCCCAAGGAATTGTGATTGAAATACGAAAAAGATTTGCAAAAACTCAGTACTAGAACATATGCAAGCTTGAGAGCGAGCAAATATCTTGCCAAGAACATATTTCGTTGGATACATAAATGTCAGACAGACAGTCAGACAGCACATTGGAAAGAATGCAGAATCTGAAAGAAAAAAAAAATCAGATTTCTTTTCCAAACACCTCCATAAGTCAATGTCAAACTGAACATCAGTGTAAAGTATAAACAAAAATCAGAACTCCCCCTACTTAGAAGGATACATGTCAGGTATTGTAGTGACTGTCTGGTCTGTTTAATTAGCCAACGGGGCTCTGGATAAACTAAACACACACACACACTCATTGACACACTTCCACAGCAGAGTGATCACAGCACAAACACCCCCCGTGTTCAGCTCAGGAATTCTCTTTACCACTTCAATCAGCACTCTTGGAAATGAGGGGAGCCTCTCCTGTCCACTTCATTAATACCTGACTATTCCAAGATCACAGGCGCTGATTTGGGAAGGGGTGGGAAGGGAGGGAGGGTGAGGGGGGGGGTCGCCTCTGTTTGTGGGAGGCCATTTGCATCCTGCCCCTGTAAAAGCAGGAACTCCCACCATGATGCACCTGAGGCGTTCCTCCATGCGGACCAGCGGGCCGTCATTCTCTGACAAGCGAGTCCCACGGCACCTGTGGCTCTTTTTCAGGTGAGACTGTCGGTGCGTTTGTGTGCAGACAACTAGTTAGGTGGATTTTGGAAGGTTTTGTTTTTCCAGCTTGTTTTAAATGACTCACAATTATCCACATCCCAGACTGAGAACATCATGCCCAGCAGGATATTCCAGCTTCAAGATGTTTCCAAGGAGCCATTAATCGTGAGCGCTGTTCTGCACTCTGCCAGCACTCTGCGATCTCTGCCAATGTTTTGGTGTTGTTGCTACCAAGCAGGGCTGTTTGTATGTGCCTGCCTCACACTAGCGCCACCCTGCACCATGCTGCAAGTGAAAAAGAAAAAAAAAGTTAGGGGACTCAGGGGTTGGTGGAGTGGGAGGGGGGTACACTCTGAGACCCAGAAAAACCTTCCACGCCACCCCTCCCCCCTCCATCTCTCCACGCTGGGCTGGATGAATTAGCCCGGGACAAAAGGCTTTGTGGGCCGGCCATGAAAGAACCATTAACCATGCAGCATCCCCTAGAGGCTCTGCCCGCAGGACACCGCCTCCCAGAATGCCACTCTCTCAGCAGGCCGCAATCCCAGCATGCATTGCGTCCCTTCAGTGCTCACCCCTGTCACCCCTTAGCCTCACTATGGAGCTCCACACAGATTGTCATGTAGATGATAATAAATGTTGTTATGGAAGTAATGGTTGATGAGAAGTAGAGAGGACGGTGTCAGCCGTGTGTGAGCGCGTGATTTGTGTGTTTTACCAACAAAGATTCAGAGTGAGATGAAGTGAGAGGGCGCAGGCCGAGGTTTGGTTGTCAGCTGTCAGGTGTGAATTCTTCCACTGTGTGTGTGTCTCATTATTCAGAGGTGCATTGTACACTGTGTGTGGGGTAGAGTATGAGGTGATCTCTCCTCCCGGGTTTGAAATGTGCGATGCCGTCTCCTCTCCTCCTCCACTCATTGTTTGGCCGGGAGCCATGACGACGACCTGCTCTCTCCCGCTTTCAGTATCCTGCTGACCTTAACAGCTGTGTCACTTCCTCATTGAGACACAACTTGAATGAAACACACATTTGTATGTTGCGGTGTACGTACAGTAGGTGTACTAAATCAGTCGACGTTCATTCTCCTATTAATGAGACCAAAGACAGAAGATAAATTCTGTCCTGTCCCTTTAGTTACAGATCACTTTCTGTTGTAAAATGGAATCGCATCAATGCTATAGAATACAAGAGACACAAATATAATAGTTTTTTTTCCAACCATGCCCTTCTTTAATAATGTAACGAAGTGTGAGAAAGTTCTACTTTTAAAAAGGGAAGCCTGTGGGGGCGACATTTTGCATCACTGAAACTATTTCCTGAGGCTATTTTTCCGACATGCTGAATTTAGCAAAAAAAAAAAAAATCAAACTGGAAAATGATGCTTCAAAGTACGCACAGACAACAACAGTCTAAATCTCAGTGGGAGTTTTCAGGGCTCGTCTACACTGTCAGAATAAATGTGCCGCTGGTCGCTGCATAAACACCCTCAGTCATGGTTCAAGTCATTACAACAACCAAGACCGTCAAACAGCAGGTGTTTCTGCAGCAGACCACAGTCGTCCCTGCAACACCTTCTCCTTGACTGTGAACGACGCCGCTATCATTTCTGAATAAAGGATTCATTGATTTGATGGGTGTGGAGTCGACAGCAGAGGCTGCAGCCCTGCTGTCTGACCTTTTCTATTGCATATACATCTATAAATAAATGCTGGAGAGATGAGGAATTACAGAGCACATGTCAGAGCTGGCCGGGACAAAATCAGGACAGGGTCACGTCCTGGAGACATCTTTTTTTTTCTAGCTTTCATTCCTCTCTTAAATGACCAAAAATACAGAAGACACTCATGGGAAAATGTCTTCGTAGAGAAGTGAGTGATGGCGTTTCATGAACTTTGAACTGCAGCCTCATGAACATAGCCTGGGTAAAATCCAGTGAAGGAGAAAATACAAAAGTCCACTATGTGAGTAACACTAACCAGAGCTGCAGTGAAAGATGTACAGAATAATCACCTGACCTACAACGAAAAAGCACCGTGGTTAATTTTTACCACATGTAAAAACATTCACTATTAAATAGGAGTAGGATATAAAGTAAAATTAGCCTTGAACATGTTGGCATGGAATTTCTTTTGTGAAGTCAAACTGTATTTTTTTTTTGCAGCCTCATGTGCAAAGAACTGAAAATGTTACTGAAAAAGAGACATATTTTAATAATGTTGGTCATTAATACAAATGCTAGCATTAATGTGTAATCCACACATACTGTATGCAGCTTATGCAGTAATACAAAAAATACAACAAAAAAAAACCCTAAGCTCCTTTATCACTGACATGACTTTTATGAACTGTCGACTATTGAAGAGCAGCTCGTTCTTATCGCTCTCTCAGTTTTACAGACACATCCAGATACGTTGCTTCACTGCGCCCAGGGCTTTTTTTTTCCATGCAGACACACTATCAAAATTCTTCCTCCATCTCAGGGGGAAGAGATTTATGACATCTGCTTTTCTTTCAGATGTCTCCAAAGAACACACACTCAGAGGCAGGGAGCATCTTGTGCTGTGCATTGTTGCCTCGGGAGCTTTTCATATCCGGAGATTTTATTGTTCTTTCTCTGTTTTATTGATGTGAAGCCTACATTGTGTGTGTGTGTGTGTGTGTGTGTGCTGGAAGGATATAGAGGGTAATAGGCTGTTATTGGCTCTCATTCCATTCTGATTGTGCTGTTGAGACACAGATCCAGTCTCAGGTGGGGTCGGACCTCAGGCTGCGTTACAGTGTGTGTGTCACGATGAGGAATGTGCTGTGTGGATGCTTTGATTAGACGTTTGTTGTTCGCCTCAGAGATAACTTCATCTGTGAGATGTAATTTTCTGCAGCAAATTTGTTCTGCTGCGCAGGGTGTGTGGTCATGGTGACATTTGTTTCATTCGACTTATTAAGTCTGTGTGTGTAACCTGTCATTAACATATTTATCTCATCACTAATTGCTGGTTTTTCATTGTGTTTTTTTTGGAGGGAAGTATTTTTTTTTAATATTTAAGCTGTTGCTACAACACAGTGGTTCCCAAACTTTTCTGCAGCGCCCCCTTTTGTACATAGCACTACTGTCGAGTCACTCCACTTGGACACATTCAAACATTTTGCTTCAGTGAACTTAATTTTCTATTAATTATTCTAATATTTGTGGCAGAACCTGACATTTTTATTTTTGGGCAGTTTACTTTAGCTTTTGTAGCGCTAATGTCTTTGCTAACAACAATGCTATGTGCTTTAAATAATACATTTTCCTCGTTTCAAATAGAGATATATTAGAAGCAGATGGCAG